ATTTTTCTGACTTCACCTATAGGAATAAGAAAAATCTCACATAAAAATCTGGCCAGCCTCTATCCCCAGTTCTGTGGTTTATTCTGAACAAGAAACAGCCAAAATCAAAACAGTCGGTATTAAAGGTTGAGGGGAGGAATGGTTCAGCTTTTCCAAGTGGTAAACTTTATTATGTTGCCAATAGGGCTATCAGGATGGACACACAATGACAATCTACAAAAGAACATTGGAGTTAAAATTCAACTCCAATCTTTGTATCTATTTTACAAGGTTTATTATAGGAAAGCAGGATTTGAACATGGGAAACATCATACATAACAGAAATATATTTGTATTAGGAATATAAATATAAAAACATTCTAGAGTGAGCAAAAATCACTGGTAGCGCCCACAATGTATAGTCTTGAATTTAATTCTTTTGAACGTCTTGAAGTTTTTGATCTGTGGAGGGGGAAACACAGTTTTTTGTAGAGAAAGGACATGTCATGTGTAATAAGTACTAAATTGAATATATGAATATTACACATATAACTATTTTAAGTGGCCTAATCTGGTTTGAGCATCTCTGGACAAAAAATTACAAAGAGGAAAAAAGGAAAAAGAGACAGTGTAGAGAACTGTATTTAGGGGAATGGTATCACCTGTTAAAATATTAATCTTACCATTTGTAAAATACTGCTGAAATGCAATTGAAAAATTAACTAAGGCAAAGATTCAGTCACACAATAAACTTTAATTTTATTAAATTAAGAAAAAACTCAAGTCCCTCCACCATCCGAGGTGTACTTTTGGTTGTGTAACTTCTGTCTTTCTCCACTACAGGCTCTCTCACACTCTACAGTTATAGCACTATGGTACTACTTTAACTGCCATAGCAGCATCCTATGGAATCCTGGGATTTGTAGTTTGGTCCGAGACACTAGAGGAGCTGGACATTTTGATCAGATTCTGGGAGTGCTTTGTCTCTAGCTGCAATGACTCTTGATCCACTTCTAAGCCCCTTTTAAAGTGTTTGCCTTAACTTTAATAGCCCAGCACTTTCATGGGCTTTAATATACTTGGACCCAGCACTTTCAAGGACTTAATATAATAATAATAATAATAATAATAATAATAATAATAATA